CCCCCCCCCGCCAGAATCCTCTGTGTGTATGTAAAAACACAGTCTCAGGTCTCTCAAGTAAATCGCCCACTGTGTGTTTTGGGATGAATATGTCGTGGTTTCTTATTTGCGATATCAGATTTTAATTTTGCGAGCTTTTCAGCTGATACTTGAAGCTACTCTGTTTTCACCTTTGCTCAGATTGCTTTTCATGACACTTTAATAAGAAGCATATCCTGTTTAATCTTATCTTACAGCGTCAAAATTCTTCCTTTGGAAAGTTTTTCTTGAAACCAGACGTAACTCTAATGCAGTGTCTCATTATTTCCTATAATTCCTCTCTCCCCGCTAAGTCCCCCTTTCATTTTTCCACGGTTTTCTTTTTCCTTTCCCCCCTCTCTCCTTTTTTCAGTATGTGACGCTGCCATGTAGGGCAGCACTGCTCCTTAGTCAGCGGGTCGGGAATGCCTGTGTCACCCTAACACTGTAGTCTTATCCAGTCTGATCTGGATCCAGTGACAGCTTTATTCCTTGTCCTGTTTATTAGTTCATTTATTTATCCAATAATTCATTAAAAAAAACTGTATCTTTCAATTTGGTATCCGACTCACAAACATGGTCATAAGCACTCTGTTTGTTTTGTTAAGCCTCAGCAGCAGGATGATGAATGGTACAATACTTCAAGATGCTTTTTTTTCGTATGACTAATTATGCTACAAGCAGGCGGCGGCATTAGAAGAGGTCAGCTGGTCCATTGTTTGGTTGATATGCTCTCATCCGACCAAATTAATATTGGTCTGCCATTACTGTGGATTTATGCTTCAGCCGGAAATCTACGCCGTAGCTACTGCTGGAAATAGTCAGTGTGGCTGTGTTTTGTGAGAACAGATGATCAAAAAGTCAAGTGTAAACTTTTGCACATCACAGCTCAGCAAACAACAAAACCTATCATGCAAAAGCACTCAGCTAACCTGTCAGTGTTATTCTACCAATGTTTGTGTGAAAGGCTCAAGGCTTTCAGTGTAAACGCACCAGGATTGGTTTATTTGAATGTTTGGACTCTCGCATGCAGCCACAGCTTCACCGAGCCCCGCTGTCTGTTAGTAGCAGCAGGTCCACAGCAGCCCAAACTGGATGTGAAGCTTGGTTTCTCAACAACATGGAAAAATAGTTAGGGATTCCCTTTAAAATAACAATAGCTTTTATGAGTATTTATAGTAATGTAGACTAAAAAGAATTACTCCCCCTCTCACAAAAGCAGTTCATTGGTTGCCGAGTAGGTGTGACTGTCTTTGGCTGACTACGGCAGCTTGAGTTGTTAGCATTGCATAAATGCACGTAGTCCAGTTTTTTCAGGCCCGATCTAATTCCCCTTTCCTCCTTGCTATGTTGTCACTCTTTCCTTTCTCCACTCAGTCTTCCTCCTTTCTGCACTATGAGTGTGTTTTTGTGACTCAGCCATGGGTCGGGATATGCCTGAAGAACACACCCTTTGGTGGCTTAACACAGGCTACTGCACGTTTATGAGCTCACATGCCCTAACAAGAACGCTTAAGCTTTGATTTAACATAGCCAGGCTAAGGCCCAGCTAATGAATTTTAATGGCGCGTTATCTCTTTTTGAACAGGTTTTTGATGGGCCGTCTTTATCACAAGGTGACAAAGACCATAGTTGGATGCAAAACACAGTTTTCTTTTTTCCTTTTCCCCTAACATGCATTTCCTGCAGTCAGAACAGTAGTGGACGAGTTCCCCAGATTTTTCCAGCCTGTTTGTGGATTACGCAGTCTCCTCTGATTCCTCCACTATCAGCTGGGCTCAGACTCCAGGAAGCTGCTTGTGTTGCAGATGGGCCTTTTAGCCTCGGTTGACTGTTTACAGCCACTGCGGCTGTGACTGCAGAAGAACAGTAAGCAGTCGGGCTATAGGATTAGAGAAAGGGAAAGAGCCCATTTGCTTTGCGGCATCTTAGTTACTCTGCCTAATTAAAAAGGCTGTCTGGAGACAGAGTGTCTCTAGGCGTCACCCAGCCCAGATACAGCCCATGGCAGAGACCAGACCATTGGTTAATGGTGTTGGATGCGGTGTGTCATCCTGCCTAGCTTGGTAGAGAAAACGCAGCCCTGACCCCAAACTTGATGGCCTTTTTTTTTTTTTTTTTTAAATAAATCCATCTTTTCTTTCTACTCATTCTGCTTCTCCCCGTCCATCCTCTACCTTTCTTTTACTCTGGCTTTGCTGTAAATGCCCTTGAGTGTGTGAAATGATTGAAGCAAGCAATAGTGCAGAGTCACCACACACCCAAACACACACAACCTAAAGATATATATGTGTGTGTATTTGTGAGCGTGCTGGAGCAGCAGCAGCAGCTTTAAAGAATCTGTAGGTGATCCTGCTGCTGATACAGAGCCATAGGCAGTGAAGCTCCCGCATCTAATCTGAAGTACAGCTTATCTTCCCAAGTAGTCACACAATGCAGCAGTGTATGTAAATATGTCACAGTTTACATGCCGCTGTTAGTATTTATCTACCGACTTGTCGATCCATCCTAGAAGCATCTTTGTATCTCAAACCTTGTATCAAATTTCGCAACTTAATAATAAATGATCCCCTCCTTATCGGGGTCGCTATTCCAGCTGGCACAGGTCGAGAGGCAGGTCACCAGTCTATTGGGGAGACAACCATTCGCACTCACATTCATACTTAGATTAATCTAACCCCAGTAATAATGACTTGGGACTGTGGAAGGAAGCAGGGCTACCCACAGTCCACATAGAAAGGCTGCAGCTAGATGTTGGGAGTCAAACACAGGACGTTGTTGCTGTGAGGCAGTAGTGCTAACCACTGCGCCACCATACTGCCCTAATAATAGATCTGTTTGCTGTAAATATTTCATGGTCGGCTGACTGAAAACACATGCCTGTCAGAGATATGGAGGTAAAGCGAGGCAGGGAATGAAGCAGTGACTGCGTGGTAAAGGAGAGAGAGAGAGAGAGAGGAAGAGAGAGTGAAATTTGATAGGCAGGATTTTAACCCCCTCATTCTCTCTCCGTCAGGGAGCTGCAGTCGCTGTAAAAAGCTCACTGAGAATATATGTTAAGCTGTCTCTGTCTCCCCCCTCCCCCTCCTTCCCCCGCTCCCGCAGGGCTCTCAGGATTCGACAGGAGGACAGGAGGGTTTGGTGGCCCCACCCTTTACAGCATTCCCACCTCCACCCCCTCCTCAAAACGGTCTACCGGGAACAGAGTTTGGCCCTGGGGCCATGTTTGGTGCTGGAGGCCAAGGTGCAGCAGAGGTAGGGGCTGGTGCAAATGGAGCCCCCACCTCCACCAACAACAACAGCAGCAATGTAAGCACCACGATTTCATTTCCCTTTGTTTTTTTATTTATTTATATATATATTTATATACTTGATACCTTGTAGAGGTGGGCGGACGGATTCAAATATGAATAGTTTGTATAGCAAAAACTGGTATTGGTATCAGATCGATTGATACTATCCTCTAAGTTCAGTGTGTAGTCCACTGAACTGTATTACAACATTTTTGGAAATGAAACCGTATACCTTAAATATCCATGGAAAATGTCTGAACCTATTTTTTCTATGTTGTCTATTTTTTAATACCCTAAAGCACATTTAAACAACAGACGTTGACCCAGAGTGCTTTAGAGACGGGCACATTTATACTTCACGTCTCCAAAAAAACCCCAGTTTCAAAATACATGAATACATGAAAAGCTGAGAGGTGTGTTTTGTTGACTAATTATTATAGAAAATTAAAAACACAGTGATTTAGTGATCATTAAAATGTGTTCAGAATTTACAAGTTGATAATGATTCATCTCATAAACCACGACACGCTGTGCTGCCACAATAATATTAACTCTCTCAAATCTGAGGTAACAGTGGTTGCCTGCTCAGTTTTTGGCATTCCTCAGCAGACTTCATTACCGACACCTGACGGTTAGTTGACTTTCCTCTAACAGCAGTAAAATAATCGTCAGGTGATTTTAGTTTTAATAGCAAGGAGCTACGGATCTAAATTCCCATGTTGTGTTTATATTAGCTTAGCTTGAATGTCAACAGCCAAATCTAATAAAATAAAAACATCTCACTGCATTTACTAAAAGTCAATATGATCACATTGCCTCCCTAAAGATACTGGCATGAAATGAGCATTCATCTCATCTTCATCTGATCAAACTGAGACATTTCTGTTTTAATCTTTTTCGCTTTATATGCAGATGCAAAAAACTGTGCTTTTACTTGGAGTCTAAACTTTTAGACTGCAGGATATGTGAATTTGGGTGACTCCTTTCTACAAACTTTTAATTACGAACAAACCTGAACGCATCCTGTGTAGACAGGCATAAGAGACAGGCTGCCGGCAAAACTGTGTGGACGCACCTCTTCTCATTTCTCAGCTTGTTTCATTGTTGATTCCTAGTCCCTCCCATCTGGGTTACTAGCTGAGGCTAAAAAACCCCAAACGCTTGATCAAAACGAGAAACCGCCAGTCAAGTTGGACTCACGATCCCCACGGGCTTTTACTTTGAAGGATTTTGCGTGTATCTTATCAGAAAACAGGCATAAAATGCAACGGGCGCTCTTTATTTTCACTATAGTTGACTTGTCCATGTTATTTTAAGAAACTTTGATCAGTTATTTTGTCTCTTCTTCTTATTTTTTTTTAGAAGTAGGAGGAGCTTTTCACACTGATCACATCAGTGCCTCTGAACATAGCCGCTGCCTCTTTGAGGAACACGCTTTCTTATGATGATGTCTGGCATTTTGACCCCTCAGTTAAATTTAACTTTAAATACATAATGTTAAGTACACCTATTGATATGATGATCAAATAACAGCGGTCTAACATGTCGCTACTGAGCTAATGAGTAGATTTTAATCTAAATATAAGAATGTATTAAGACTCACATTGAATCTTTATTTCATTATTCAAATTCATGTCTTCTTTTTTGTTTACCAATGTGTTAAAAACATAAATAATTGAGTATTATATAAATAAAAAAAGCTCAAGTCACCATGCAGCTCACACCTGGATAGGAGGGCAGTATTTTCTGGTTACCACAGCTTGACCAGATACGTAGTGTCATATCTTTATTTTATTTATTTTTTTGTAACTTTTGAGTTCTTTGACTTGCTGTACTGAAGAGGAAAGGAGAGAGGAGTTGAGGCAACAGGCATTTAAATAAAATAAAAATAAATTGCTTGTCTTTTTTTCCATTTCGGTTTATTCTCCATTGTTTCTTCTTCTCCTGCTATCTATACAGCGCTATAACTTGACTCCATCTGTCTCGCTCTCCTCTTCTTCCCACAAACAGAAGACAGAGGAGACGTCTCAGGGTGAGGCGGGTGTACAGTGCGGCGCAGGAGGCACAGGAGCGGGAGGCTCAGCAGGAGACTCGACAGAGGCCAAAGGGACCCCCAAACGCCTCCATGTTTCAAACATCCCCTTCCGCTTCCGGGATCCAGACCTCAGGCAGATGTTTGGGGTAAGAACTGTTGGAGCCTCATTTTTAAGGTGGGGATCAATGAATCAGTCTAGACACCCTGCGTCCTCCATATAAGGGGCTGCCTCAGAGCGAATGACAAAAGAGTGAAACGCTCATAAAGAAAGGAGACTGATGGGTGTTCTCTTATCTGTGTCATCATGTTTGTATGAGTGTCAAAGTAGGAGGAAAGAAATGGAGCAGAGTTCAACGCAAAGAAATGCACATTAAAATGCAAATGTTGTCTTTTGTGTAACAGTGACCCCTAGTGTAAAGTAGCTTTAATTCAAATAGCTTTACATGGCCCTGAATGACTTTTATTAATTAAGAACAGAATCATGAGATCCCTTATTGATATAAGATTGTTGGCTAATATTTCTTTCCTCAAATTTCTTCGCAGCAATTTGGGAAGATCCTGGATGTTGAGATTATTTTCAATGAGAGGGGTTCAAAGGTAAGTGCGCATCAAGCATCTGATACTCAATGCTGTGACCGGCTTACTGCTGAATGATTTCCTGTGTAACTGTGACTATTTGTCATGTGGTATTAGCAGTCCGCGTGAGAAATCGCTGTTCCAGAACTAAAGTCATCTGTTTAACAGTGTCAGAATGAGTCCCGCAGATTGTCCTCTACCGGTCGGCAATCCCTTCTGACATGCCCCTCACTCACCATCAAACTCTCTAACCTCTGCTGCGTACCACAGGGTTTTGGCTTTGTGACATTTGAGAACAGCGCAGACGCAGAGAAAGCCAGGGAAAAGCTCCACGGCACACTGGTGGAAGGTCGTAAGATTGAGGTAATTTTGCTCTCTCCCTTTCTCTTCCTTCTTTTCTTGTCTCCTCTCTCTACTCCCACCATAATTCTGCTTGATCACTGACGTGCTAGCTAGCTCCCATCCTCCCTTTAGTGATATGCTCTGATGCAGCCCAGTGGTATCCCACACCGGTCCTCTGCAATATGTTTCTTGTTTTTAAAACCCAAAAGACTTGATTTATTATTTTGATGTTTTGTTTTTGTGGTGGGAATGATTAGGGGTGCAAGAACACTACACTAAGGCATGCTGGGTACTTTTCCTCTGAAGTGTTTCCCCCCCTGCCCTCCATATATTAACCTGTTGTCTTTTTACCTGTCCCCCTCAACCGATGCACAACTTGCAGCCACGCTAACGTTACAACTTCTCGTGCAACAATTGGAATGAGATTTGTGCATTTTGCACCGGAGGGCACAAGTGGAACGCAGTGAAAGGACGATGCATGGCAGATTGCTGTCAGATGCTCTTATTTTTCTCCCCCAGCATAGAGAAATCCTTCTGTATTCCCCTCTCCCGGTGCTGTGGCTAAGTGGTTGTGACAGCTTTTGGCTCCTGATGCAACAGCAGCATGCTGGGAATCACAGCAACACTGACGCATGCTCACTTTATGGAAGTCTGGGTTCTTTCTGATGAAATGTACACTTGATTTTATTTATTTTCTGGTTTTTGTGGTTTGAGGTTGTGTGTTTTTTGTGTGACATATTCTTTCCCATGTTTTACCTGAAGCATGTTCTTAGTTTTTGAATTGAGTTTTTCTTTTTTTTTCCTTCCCTCTTTATTTTAATTGGGGTTTCAATCAGCCAGTTATCCATATTGGATCACTTGACTTGTGCCATCGTAAGCCAGGATTTGTGCATGGGCTTACTGTGGTGATTTCCTTGTGACGAGTATGTATGTGTGTGTCTGTCTGTGTGTGGGTGTGTGCAAGGCAGTTCCTGCATGATGGATGAGGCTGGAACCTTTTTAGTTATGTACTCTCAGTTCTGCTGCAGTGTGGTGGAGAATGAGAAACATCCACCTGCATCCACTGGTACAACATTATATTCCCCTCCGCCACCTCCACCTTCAGTCAGTCAGCAAGCTGAATGGATACTGATGGAGCCAGTTTACCATGCATCAGTTTTTCCTTTTGTATATCAACAACCTGTGCCATTCCTGGCATCGCTTTAACCTGATTCTGTGACTCTTCCCAGATTTTTGCATGATGTAAGTCACTTGTCAAACAGCAAGACATCTTTGTTTTCAGTCGTCACTCTGCATGTGTTTTGTTGAACTCCAGTAGCAGCGATGGCCTCGTAGTGAGTCACGTATCAGCCGCATGGTGGGTCAGCAGCAGGAGTCTGTAGAGCAGCCTCTCTCTTTCTGTCTGTTTATGGTGCATGGGCTTGAAGACAAAAGGCTGGCGCAGGACAAACAGTGGATTTGTGTTTATACATTCTTCCAGCCAAGGAAAAACGGCCGGACATTTCTATTTCAGGCAATGCTCTCTGGCAGTTCTCCTTTCTCGCAGATGTCGCTGCAGTAACTCACGCTTCAACCGGTCGTATGATTTCAGAGTTTGTTGAAGTTTGTTTTCAGAGACAAATATGGTAAAAGAGCAACAGTGAAATCTCACATTTCTTTTATAATTCAGAAACTCTGAAATATAGGCCTGTGCGACTGTTTAGACATAAATATTTCACCATTACGTGTGTGACTAGAGTTTACTGCTATCCAGTGGCCTGGGTTTAGCTGATGTAGATTTAGTTGTGCATGATTTATATTTTAATCTGGTAATTTGGAGCCTCGCTGAGGCAGTACTGCTGACAGCTGGATGTTTATTCTTGCATGTTTATTATGTATGGCTATTTTGTTGAATTAGTTGTGGTGACGGGCTGTTAATTTACTTGTTCGGTTGGCATGAACTGAGTTACACCTGAGTGCTTATAGCTTGTTTCACTTACTGGGGGAAAAAGGCTTGATAGCTGAACTCCTAGACTGATTTTGACTCAATGATTGATAAAGGAATGCTGTACTGTACTCGAGTGCTGGCTTGTTTTTATTCTTGGTGCATGCAAGTGGAATTGGGTAGTCTTATTTTATTTCCTTTTTGTTTTCCTACTAGCTCCCCATAGTGTGCATGTATGTGGATTAAATGAAAGAGAGTAGAAACAGAGTTGTTGTACTTAAAGTTACACTGTACTTCTCTTTGTCTGGAATAAAACTCTGCGCTTTGAAGAAGTCAGTTTCCTGTATGCTTCCAATGTATCCATGTAAGTGGCCCAACTACAGTTCTCTTTGTCTATACCTGCTTCTTCCCATCTCATCACCATTTACTCTATATATAGACCATTGAGTGCTATAGGCCTATATATAGTTGTGACAATGTGGATCTTGTACACACTTTCAAACATGCGCATCTTCATCTATCCATGGCTGTCTTTCTGATTGTGTGTATGCCCTGACATAAAGCAGCCCACACTCCAAGCATCTGTCTGACTGTACCATTTTGGCTGTCATTAACGTGTTGTTTTATCTACATTTTAGTCACATGTTGTACGTGCTATCACAGATTTATTCTACTTGTAGTTAGTGGCTGTAAGCGGAGTTGATTCGGGTCCAATCATAGTCTCAGTTCCAGTTACAGAAAAATTAAAGGGAGCCTTTTTCTTATTTTCTGTCTCTAAAGGTGGATGCTTATGTTAAACATAGCTAAAATTTCAAATAATAAGGTTTAGTGTCATCCCTGCGCATACAAGTCCTCTCAATGCTTACTGTGCAGATATTTGTTTGTTTTTTAATTGTCTTTGATTTGTATGTTGTCAGCCAGGAGCTTATATCCTTATATGGTCATCTCAAGCAGACCACTGCTGTTTGGGAGGGGCAGCCAATCAGATGAAAGTCAGCTTACAGGGATAGGATGAATAAAGATGGGGCTGGAATAAAATAAATATGGTAGAGCTTGGAATGAACATAATGGGTCCACTTTATTTTTAGGCTGGTGTACACATCTGGTGTGCGCCTCGCACATTTTGAAACAATGCAGCTGTCGTAACTGTGCTTCTGGCTGATGATTGGATTCTGCTCTGTGTGAATAACAGCTGCTGGTCACACAGAGCAATTTTCATTTGTTCAGGGAGCTAAGTTTTAATGTTTCCTTCTTTGTTTATTTATACGGGACCATCTGAAGGTGAAGATGTATGATGCTAGGCTATTAACTTTTTGATTAATCCTAATAATGATCATGATCGAAGCACACTTTGATCGCACACGCAGAATTAAGTTGTTGCAAGTATCATATTTTATAGGTCTTCACACATCCATAGAAGAAATGGTATTGAGATAGAGACCATGTTGGACCCTGCAAACTCCCATTCACTAACCCTCGCTCTTGAATTGTGCGTTTGCGATCGATCTGTGTTGCTGGAGTGTTATGGGAAGTGAAGGCTCCTCCGCGGCGCAGAGTTTTAGTCAGATATAACACAAGAGCACAGAATGGCTGACACGTGTGTGTGTCTCTCTGTGCCACGAACGGTGCAGCTTTGCATGCAAAGTAGGGACTCGAGTCGGGGGTGCAAGCGAGCCCGAGGAGTGTCGTCATCGCTGCATGGATGTGTGCGGGTGAAAAGGGAGGAGAAGCAGTTGTGTCTGTGTTTCTGCATGCCTGACAACGCATATTCTCACCAAACGGTGCTGCTGCCACACGCTCCTCTAACAGACACAGTTGGGCCTTCAATCAGTCGTTTCCCCGTGAGAATTTCATTTGAATGAACTCGAATGCGAGTCACAGGATCAGCCACGGTCTGATTCGAAGGCTCACCTGTCATAGATGACCACGGCCCCCCACCCCACATGTACACACACACACACACACACACACACACACACACACACACACACACACACACA